GGTATATGCCTGTTGTGTACATCAATTCAATTCAACCAACATTTATTCAGCACCTTCCCTGTGTAAAGCTTTGGGCTAGGTGGTTGAGAGCTAAGACAAAAAATAAAACAGAACCAAAAACTCCCAACTGGTCCTGCCTTTAAGGAGCCTCCATTTTCCCGGATCCCATTCCCACACAGTCTTCTTTTCGTAAGACCTGCTGTGGAAAGAGCAGCAGCCCTGCAATCGGAAGACCTGGGTTCATACCCCAGCTCTGGTCCTCACTAACTGTGTGAACCTTGAGAAATTACTTGATCTTCCTCAGCCTCAATTTGCTCACCTGAAATGAGGTGGCTGAACTAGATAATCTCTAAGGTTGATTCCAGGGAGAGGGACTTTGACAACCGGCTTAGATGTCAATATACCTACTGGCTTCAGGTATGTCTCTTGTCAAGGTATCTTAAGCTCACTGAGGGCAGAGACTAAAATCCCTTTTTATCTTCACATTCCCGGCTTCTCCCCTAGGCTCTGGCACATAGCAGATGTTTGGTTAATAATTGTCTAATCGACTCTCTTTCATCCACTCTTCTCAAGAACCTTTGGGCCAAGACCCAAAGGAGTGAATGGACGATGGATCTTAAGCTGTCTTGACAAGCAGCAAGTATTTTATAGGGTCAAAAGCTGGAAGTGAGCTTCGAGATCAACCTTCTCATTTCATAGATTAAGGCCCAGTGATGGGCCTAATGATGACTTACTCAAGGTCACCCTGGAAGTGAGTTACCAAAACAAAATGGGTCACAGGACCATAGATTTTGGGCTGAAAGACCTTAGCAGAAACTTAGGCCAACTTCTCTCTCCCATTTTACAAAAATGAGGCACAGGGAGGTGAAGTTAGAGGACCAGGGTCACCCTAGTGTTGGAGGTAGGATTCTAGCCTTGACTTGTAATTCAGTCCTTTTTTCACTATATCACTTTGCCTCCCTGGGAGTCATCTGACAAGGCCAATTCTGTCAACACATGCTAATTTTTTCTTTCTACTTAGAATGAGTCAAGAAAATAGTGAGTCTGCCTGTTTTGTTTTTTTGGTTTTTTTTTCATAAGCAGAGAATAGACAGTCAAAAGGAAAAGAGGTCAAGAGACCCAGTTAAAGTTTTCGTGTCAAATTAATCTATGACACTAGACGTCATATATCTTAGGGAACAATCTTCCCCTGAGCCCTGGGGAATTCACAACAATTTAAGACATTTCTTCCCCCTGTAATTCCTGTGCTTTCATGCGGTGTTTTTGAGATGACAGAGGAACATATCTGGTTTCATAGAGGGCCGTGTTGAGGACACATAATTGCAGACTTGCGTAATCCATGCTGAAAGGGTAGCTGGATGAGTGTGCACATACGTATTGGGCCAAGGCTGGAGGGAGCCTTTGCCTGCCTTCAATCCCTACTACACCAAGAAGGCCCAGTCTCCTAGGCCAAAGTCAGGAGGGAAGTCCAGCGGTTAGTGCTTCCTCTGCTCAGAGATGGCAGGACGGGCCAAAGACCAGGAAGGTCGTAGGATTATAGATCTAGAACTAGGCCAACTAGTTCAACCTCCTCATTTAACAGATAAAGAGACTAAAGCCTAAGGAAGTTAGGTGACTTGTCCACAGTCACACAGGAAGTAAATGGGGTGAAGGTAAGAATTCGAACTCAAGTCCTTTGACTCCAAATCCAGTATTTTTTTTTTAAGGCAATTGGGGTTAAGTGACTTGCCCAGGGTCACACAGCTAGTTAGTGTCAAGTGTTTGGTCTGAGGCCGCATTTGAACTCAGGTCCTTCTGACTTCAGGGCCAGTGCTCTATCCACTGCGCCACCTAGCTGCCCCCAGTATTTTTTCAATGACACCCCACTGCTTCCTGATTTGATAACCCTGGTTGACAAAGTCTCTTGAAAGAAGTTTCTCCTTTAATCACTGGAGCAAATATTCAACTAGCCTCAACTAACCTCTATGTCCTTCCTTCCAAAAATATATACTGACTTCTTGGTTTGCCAAAGCCCAAAAAATTCCTCCGAACAAAACAAAACCCTCTGGCAAAGCTATATGGGTAACATCAGGAAGAGGAATGACTACCTCCCTCTGTCCTCCAGAGTCCCAGCTGGACTTCAGTGAGGCAGAGTGGAAAGAGCCCCCTGGCCTTTGGGTCAGGAGAGACCTGGGCTCAAACACCACCTCTCACATGACCCTGGGTAAGTCATGTCCCATCTCGGAGCCTCAGTTTCCTCATTTGTAAAATGAAGACCATAATACCCATAGCACTTACCTCATGGGGTTGTTGTGAAGATCAAAAAAGATAATATATGTAAGTAAAGGGCTTTTCGAGCCTCAAAGCACTTTCTAAACCTCTCTTCCCTTACTTATAAACTTTTTCTCATATACCAGATGTCCTTTCCCAGAAAACTTTCTTTCTCATGTACCTCTCCACTACCAAAATCTGGTCATTTCATGGCCTCCCTTTTCCATCCCCGACAAGATTGAAGCCATCCAAAGTGAACTTCCTCAAGCCCCCTTCTCTAGTCCTCAGCCCCAATTCTTGCCTCAACTCCCCTCCCCATTCCACTAGGCACAGAGGAAATGCTATTCTACTCAATTGGGTAAAATCTCTCAGTGTGAGCCCTTGACCCTATGCCCTCTGGCCTGCTTCTGAACTGGGTTCTAGCACTCATCTCTGTCTCTCTCATGTACCTCTCCAGGACTGGCTCCTTCCCTTTGACCCACAAGCATGCTGAGGTCTCCAGAATTCCAAGGCAATGTGGAACGGTGGAAGGAAACAGATTGAGAGTCAGTGGGCCTCAGTTTCCCTATCTGTGAAGTGAAGAGTGTGGACTCACTTCCAGCTCTAAGTCTGTAGGACTCATGATCTAAACACGCCTTCTGCCGACCCATCTAACCGCATCCATCTCTCTCCTTCCCCTCACTGGCAAACACCTGGGCGCATTTTTCTATACTTCAGGGCCCCTTGCCATACACCGCCGGCTCTTCTTCCAATTTCTTCACATCTGGCTTCCATCGTCTTCACTCTGGAACTGCTCTCTGCAAGGCCATCCGGAACCAAATCCAAATGGCCTCTTTTCAATACGCATCTTCCCTTCACCTCCCGACAGCAGCAAACACCATTAACCGCCCCCTCCAAACTGGATGTCGGCTCCTCCTTTGGCTTCAGAACCGCCATAGTCTCCTGGTTCTCCTTCTTCCCCAACTTCCTTCACTAGCTACCCATCCTCGTCCTGACCCCTGCATGTGGTGCTGCTAAGGGAGCACCTGACCTTGGCCATCCCCCTTCCCTTCTACACTTGTCTCTCTACACCAAGGGGGGAGCTCGTTGGCAATCTCAGAGTTGGAAGGGGCCTCAGAGGTCATCTGGTTCAAGTATGACCTAAGCAAGGATTCCCTCTCCTCTCTACCATTCCTTCCGAGGGGTTCAACTACCATCTCTCTGCCAAATTCTCCCGAATTCCTATCTCCAGTTGACCATTGGAGGTCTCCACCGGGATGTGCCACCAGCATCTCAAACTCCTCATGTCCAAAACCAAGGTCATCATTTATCCCCCCACATCCACTCCTCCTCTGGAGGTGGGTCACTTATCAAGGACTGTAAATTCTACCTGCATAATATTCCCTCATCCTTTCCTTTCTTATTTCCAATGTTACTATATTAACAGAGCCCCCATGACCACCCACACAGACTATTACAATGGCCTTTGAGGTCCTTCGACCTCTTTCTCCACCCCATACCACTGCTGAACTAATTCTTATACATAGCTCACATCATTACTCCAATAGAACAGAAGCTCCTTGAGGGCAGGGAATGCCTTTTTGTCTTGGTATCCCCAGCTCTGGCACAGTTCCTGGTATACTGTAGGCACTTCATAAATGCTGGTTGACTGATTTACTTGGCTTTCAGCAAGGAAAGTTTGATCTTTTATCCTGCACAAGGCCCTTGAACAATAACCCCATCCTACCTTCCCAGCCTCGTTCCCTGCTTCTCTTCCTCCTCGCTCTTTATTCTAGTCTAATTCCTTTGCTTGTGTCATTGGCCACGCTCTTACTGTTCTCCTTCCCAGCCTCCCCCGTTGACTTTTCCCCCACCCTTTATTTTTTAATAGTAATTTCCCCCCTATTACATGTGAAGACAATTTTCAACCTGCCACCCTTTAAAGCCCAAGTCAAGCGCCCCTTCCTCCAGGAAGCAAACCTTCCCCTATCCCTACACTCTCTCTACCTAGTAACAATCTTTTTTCAATTATTAATGTGATTGTAATTAAGAAATCAATGTAATTAAGATCAGTACTTGTTATTGACAAGGCGGTGTGGCTCGACAGACAGGCACCGGACCTGGAGCCAAGAAGACTGGGCCCAGATGTTTATTAGCTGTGTGACCCTTAATTTCTCAGTGTCTTCAGCTTCCTCATCTGCCATTATTTGGGGGGGTGGGCTACATGTCTCCAAGGTCCCTCGAGTCTCTAAATCTATAATCCTATAAGCACCACAATATCTCAGGAACTGTGCTAGGCACTAGGGATACAAAGACAAGAATGAAAGTGCCTGCCCTGAAAGGGCTTACGTTCTACCAGTAATTGGTTGGATTAGGGGCTCCAGATCCATCCAGGATGTATCCTACTATGCCAGGCAGCACAAGCATTAATATTACTGCCATTTGGCAGGACACTCCGATAAAGAGAGGTCACAGAATCGGGGAGGCTTAGAGGCAGGATACAAACTCTGGCTCTGCCTCCAACTCCCTCGTCCTTTTTTTTTTTTGGCGAGGCAATCAGGGTTTAGTGACTTGCCCAGGGTCACACAGCTAGTAAGTGTCAAGTGTCTGAGGCTGGTCCCCCGACTTCGGGGCCGGTGCTCTATCCACTGCACTGCCTAGTTGCCCTTCCCATGTCCTTTTGACTCTGCTGCACAGCAAGAAAAATGACTAATGCCATGTCTGTTTTTCACTTTTTATTGTAAACATTCTAATATTTCCAATGACTCCATACCCAAATGCATTGTTTTTAAAAGTTTTTTTTAAAATCAGAAACAGAACAAAGTCCGTGACTAGAGCACAAATATTCAAGAATTATAAAGTATGTATGTAAAACATGGGCGACTGATATAGGCAGTGGGTTAAAACATTTACAGTTAAGGCTGTACATTTTTTACAAAAAAAAAAAAAAATTAGCCTCAAGTCCCCAGAGAAAAAGAAGACTCAAACGTTTATCACAGGCGTCAGCTGGAGTAAGGAATTTGATGTAAGCATCTGTCCGTTCCTCGTGTTGTTTATGCCTTCAAAGCTCTGCAGGAAACTCCGTCTTCTCTTCAGCCCCTCCAGAATGACAGAATTATTAGATGCCAGGCTCTGTGTCCTAAAGATATCGAAAATTAAATAGAGCTGTTACTTAAAAAAAAAGAAAGCGCTTTGGGTTTCTGTTTATATTAACCAAGTAAGGCGTTGTACTCCCTGGTTATTCATTACTAGGAAAGAGTAAAAAAAAAAAAATCCTGCTAGGTCTGAATTGTATTTTTAAAAGAAGTCAGCTCCTGAATCTCAAGTATTCTTCATGCTTCACATGTTCCACAGATGACCCTCTATGATATCATCACATGTATTGCATATGTAATTCAATCCAACGAGTACTTATTAAGGATCCTCCCCCTTTTTTTGCAGAGGTGGTGGACCACAGGTGTTAGACACTGCATAGACCGTCAAAGTCCATTGACTTGTTGGTTAGTTTTGTTGAATTGATTTATTTCTCTTTCTTTTTAATTAATTGTTACAAAGGCGGTATTGCTACATAGGGGAGGGAAGACTGGAAATGAAAATGAGATAAAAAAACATTAAAAATGAGAAATATTAAAAACCCAAGCATTTGGTAAATGCCTACTTATGTGCCAGGCTTTGAGTTAAGTTCTGGAGATTGAAACACAAAACTGAACTAGCTCCTGCCCTCAAAGAGCTTACATTTGACTGGTGTTAAACAGACCTTCTGTTCTCCAGTTCAACAGCAGGCATCTAATTAAATTCCAATGTAGTTCTATTTCTAAGGGACTGAAAAACTAACCTTCAGTCATCACATGGTTACTTGGCGTCGTACAATTTCTCTTAAAGAAATATGGCAGCTTCACCCACATATTACTCTTTCTAGATAGTAAGAGATAGCCTCGTTGCTCTAGCCAAATCCATCTTTCTCCTATTCCCTTCTCTCTTTTTTTTGGCTAGGCAATGGGATTGAGTGACTTGCCCAAGGTCACACAGCTAGTAAGTGTTATGCGTCTGAGACTGGATTTGAACTCAGGTCCTCCTGACTCCAGGGCTGGTGCTCTATCCACTGCGCCATCTAGCTGCTCCCCATTCCCTTTTCTACCTCTTTCCATACACTCACTTGACATTCAGCCCAGAAGAATATAAGGTCCTTGAGGGCAGAAATGGTTTTGTTTTGCCTTTGTATATCCCTAGCACCATAGTATAGTGCCTTACGCATGTCAGGTACTTAGTTAATGTTTCTGTTGTTGACTTGAATTGATTTCTGCTCCCCCAACTTCAACTTCACCTTTGTCTGTGGACCCCAGGTTAAGAACCCCTCCCTGCTCTAAGACTATACATTGCTGAGATGCCAGTCTATATTCCAATGAAATCACTGGCCTAGTCCCTATCTAACAGCATCTACTTCACAAAGCTATCGAGAGGACCTGGGGCAGCTAAGTGGTAAAGTCGATAGAGTGCTGAGCCTGGAGTCAGGAAGACTCATCTTCCTGACTTCAAATATGGCCTGAGACACTTACTTGCTGGGTGATCCTGGGTAAATCACTTCACCCTGTTTGCCTCAGTTTCCTTATCTGAAAAATAAGCTGGAGAAGGAAATGGCAAACCACTCCATTATCTCTGCCAAGAAAACCCCAAATGGGGTCATGAAAAGTAGGACATGACTGAAAAATGACTGACCACCACCACCAACAAAATGTGGAGGACCAAACAATGATTGTAAAGTGCTAATAAGTAACTTTAAACATTGCACACATATCAGCGGTCATCTCCAATGCCTAATGTTCTCATCCCCTTTTCATCATTATTTCATATTCATCACTTGGGGGCTCACTAGATCACGGGACTTAGAGCAGAAAGGGACTTTACAGATCTGATCATATGATCCAAATCGCTCATTTTGCAGAGTAAGAAACTGAGGCCCAAAGAGAAGTCATTCATACAAAGTCCGAGGGAAAACTTGTGTCCTTCAAGAATCCTCCTCTAGACCCCTTCCTTCTCCTCTGTCCCAGGCCTCTAAGGTCACAATGGGTCATCTTGTCCTTGTTCCTGTGACCTGAAAATTCTTCCCCTAGACCAGGGGTCTAGACCTGGGGTCTCCGAATGTTTTAACAAATATTTTGAGAAACATTTTGATTTAATTGAATTCTTTTGTAATCTTGTATATTTTATTTTATGTATTTTAACATTATTCTGTGAAGAGGTCTAGGACACACACACAAAGCTGTAGAAGCCCCCTTCCCTACTCCTTCCATGTGCACATTTGATCTATGTGGTTAAATGGCCAACATGAAGAGATCAGGACAACATTTGCTACTTTCTTGACATCTAGCCACAGAATGCCTAGGAAAATGCTGCTCCTTCCTCCCTTCTCCAGCTTCTGGGAGGATGTAAGAGTAGCCAGTGGTGAGGATGGTAAGAACAATCCTTAAAGTGACTGTCAATATGTCCCCCTCCTTCTTCATTATAAACATTCTAGTGACAACCACCATCATGCACGTGTAGGACCTGCTGCCAGAGTACATGGTAGGTGCTTAATAAATGCTTATTGATGAACTGATCATTACCCACCCAAAGTCTGTTTATCCAAATTACAGAAGCTTCCACATGTGAAAATATGATATTTTATGAAAATGAAAAACTCACGTGGGATACTCTGTATCCTCATCATAAATGCTGATGCCTACACATCTACCATGGGACTCGGGAGAAAATTGAAGGTTGGGGAGCTTCTTTCTACAAGGGTCTTCAATATCTTCTAGTGGAATCACTGACCTTATTCTTTAATTTAAAAGCAATTAATCCCTTCGTTCTTTATTCATCAGCTTAGAGGGTTTTTTTTAAAAAAAAAAACCTTATAAAAGACTGAATTTTAATTAGAACATAGAATCATAGAATTTGGGGTTTCAATTTGAAGCGTCTTTTGAACTCCCCTCCCTCCCCGAACTACTACGAATTCTTTTTGAGGAAGATGGCATGGTGGAGAGAATGCTGGACCTGGAGTCAGGAAGAACTGAGTTTAAAAACTGCCCCAGACATTTACTAGCAGTGTGACCCTGGGCAAGTCATTTCATCTGTCTGCCTCAGTTTTCTCATCTATAAAATGAGGATAATAACATTGCCAACTTTCCAGAGTTGTTGTGAGGATAAAATGAGGTAATATTTGTAAAGCAATTTGCAAACCCTAAAGTATTATCTAAATGCTGGTTGTTATTACATATTCTATATATGTTCATATGCTTACATGTTATTTCCCCCACTAAGATGTCAACTCCTTGAGGATTTGGACGATTTCACTTTTGTCTTTGTATCTCTAGCACTCAGCCCAATGTCTGACACACAGAAGGTGCATAATAAGTGCTTGTTGATTGATTAATTAGAAGGAAACTTCGAGAGCACATGGCCCAACTCTCTCATGATGAGGAAACTGAGATCGAGAGAAGGCAAATGACTTGCCCAAGTAGATAAATAGCTTGTCCTTCTTATAAAAAAGAAAGAATTGGGGAGAAATGAATAGAAACTGGTCACGTTCTCATTTATGCTTTTTTTTTAAACACCTGATTTTCAGCAGGTAGTAATAGATGGTGCAGTGGATAGCGCTCTGGACCTGGAGTCAGGAAGACCTGAGTTTAAATCCTACCTCAGACACTTACGAGCTGTGTGACCCTGGGCAAGACACTTAACCTCTCTCTGCCTAAGTAACTCCATGCATAAAATGGGAAAAATAATGGCACCAACTTCCTGGAGATATTTGCAAAGTGCCTTTTAAATTTTAAAGTGCTATATAAATGATAGTTATTATTCTTATTATTATTCTTTTTATCCTAGGAAATCCAGGTACCCTTATGGAAATGACTGGGATTTCATTTAGGGTAAACCAAATGCCATTGAGGTATAATTCCTTAACTGTTTGACATCTCTCAAGGTTTTTTGTTAACATTCATAAAAATTTTAAATGTTTTCAAATGACCACATGGCAGTTCACTAATGGTTAGCCTTGACAACCCTACCAAAATGCTCTTTCAAGCACGTCTCTTTAAATTGAAACTGGGGGACTCCAATGCCAACAAGGCAATTTTATTTGTTCAAAAGTAGGTAGACAGTGGACAGACCCAACGTTATATGACAATCCCTCTGGGTCTCTGTTCTAAACCTCAAGGACATCTGGAAGTTCCTGGCAGTCTGCATTTTTCCTTCTTTTTCCAGAGATGTCTCAATGAAGCTTTAACTAAAGAGCAGATCAAAAATTTCTATCAGTTTTATGGACATTATATTTGAAATAGTTCCTTAAGTGATGCTTCACTGTCCCTTTAAGAGATGGTTGCAGTACAGAGAGACTCAACCATATCCTAGTGATACGCTTCGGAGGAAAGCGCTAGTCCTGACAATCTCAGGCTGTCCTTGGACCCCCCGGGTCCCGTGAGAGACCGATGTACTTACCGTGGAGAATCGATTCCACTGTCTCCTGTCAGACTGTGGTTTTCAGTTCCTTCCGAGTGATTCTGCTCCTGCTGCTGGACACGCTGGGCCAAACTCGGCATCCGTGAGGCGCTGAAGGGCTCTGGCGTCTGCCTGAAATGTTTCCTCACTTCCTCGCCCTGTGGCCCCAGACCCCAGCAAGCCGCTGTCTCCCCCGTCTCCCTGGCAGAGTTCTGCAGTGTCTCAGCTTCAGAGTCAGCCTCGCTGGCGTTGTAATAGTCAAATATACTGCCATCGACAAGCTCTGAAGAAGCCTGGGCCCTTGGGGCCGCACCAGCTTCCTCATCACAGCGATAGCCACGTGGATGGAGGCCACGGTTATCTCCTGAGAAATCCATCTTCTGGCGCCCATCCAAGCCAGCAGGTCTGTGATAGTCATTTCTTTCAGAAATCTGAGCCTCAAACTGTTGTATTTTGCTGCTGTAATCAGTTGGGTCACTACTTATCTTCCAGTGGCCCAGGGGTCCCTCGTTCACGTTAGTTTTCCCTAAATTGTCCCACAGGCTTCCCTCTGTAAAGGAATATGGGATGTAGCCTGGCCGAGCCGGACACAGGATGTGTTTCTCGGCAAAGTCCTCCTTGTCTTCCTCCTCCTCCTGCAAATACAAAGAGCTGCAGGCATCCTCGTCGCCATCCATCTCCTTCTGGTACAAAGCCTGGTGGTCATCCTCGTCAGTAACTCCTTCATTCTCGTGACTGAGGGTCTCCCAGCGTGTCACAGTCAGCTCCTTTGGGGCGTCTCTGCTTTGCCTCTCGGGCTGTCTGATCTGGTGGGCGCTGCTCAGATGATGGTCCAGAAGGCCAAGATTCTGGAACTGACACACAACGGTCTGATCCATCAGCTCACGCCCAGGGACTTCGTGGTTTACTAAACAAGAGGCCTGGGCCGCAGAACAATGCATTTCAGTTTGGGTCTCCCCCAGTGGATCAGCACAGGGGTGGATTTTCCACTGGACTTCACGGATAGTCTTGTCTTGGGCAGCGCAGGCATTTTGCCCAGGCTGGCTTTCTCTGAAGGGATGGCCCTTACCCCTTGTTCTGAAAAACCCATTCTGTGAATAATTTGAGGGGCGGTCTCTGAAGCTGTCACCGACAGGTTGGACAGAAGCAGCGTTAGGGCTGACAGGCATTCCTGGCTTCACCTTGTCTTTGGGCTGCTCAGCGCATGGCTGCTGAACTTCACTGCCAACGTTTCTTGAGGAATCCAAAGACCTTGACCTTTGAAAAGACTTTTTGGGCTTCTCAGTCAGCTTGGGTTTCAGGTCACTGCTCTTCTGGCCCCTGTAGCCTCTGACTGTCAGATTCCCCCTGTGAGGAAAGCCTGGAAAAGGGTTGCTGATTCTTTTTTTGTAAATAAAATGGGGGTTGGCAGCCCCTGATTGAGTCTCCCGCAGAAGTTTCTGAGCCGGTCCTGCCTCTGGGGTCTTGGCTCTGGGCACAGCCTCCGTGGGAAGGTGCTTGGAGTGTTTCTCTGGCCTGGTGATGACTGACCTTGGCTCACTGCCCTGGGAGCCTCTCTGGCTTGAATGTCCTTTCCTCCGGTGCCTTCCAGACCTACTCTGCCGTCTCCTCACCCCGGCTTTCACCGGCTGCTGCTGCGGCTGCTGCAGCTGCTTGTGGCCGGCTGCCAGCAGGTCAGTGGATGTGCCCTGGCTCATGTATTTTTTCCGCTCTTCACATTTCTGCATTAGGACTGTGTGTCTGATGAGGTTGTCGACAGTCAGTTCGGGGTTGATGCGCTTGATAATTTCATGCTCGACGTCCCGAGGAATATTGTCGAGGTTTTCCTCATCTCGGACAGGCCACTCTTCAGGTGGGAACTGGGCAGAGAAAGTCCTGTGGTCCTTCTTGGGCCTTTCTTTTCTGGACATCTGGCGCCAGAGGAGACGGAGACCAAATTTCTTGCTCTTTTCTTTGTCCTTGGTGGGCGGCAGGGGTTTGGGCCGGTCACAAAGGCGCTTCTCCTCCGACGTTGAGATGGCCTGGCTCTGCACTGATGGTTTGGCTTCCCCCAAGTTCTTCTGCCCTTTCCTACCCCTGTCCCCTGAAGGCTCTCCCGGACACGGGTCTGGGAAGCAGCGGCAGGATTTGCAATGGGAGGGGCTAGTGATACTTTCTTTGGTTAATTCTGCCTGGCCGTCCATACTGACCAGGTAAGTGACTGAAGTTGGCGGCGGGTGACCGTCTTCCAGCGGCGCTCTCTCCTTCTCCGGGGGTGCTGTGTTTGCGATGAAATAAGTCTGGGGAGTCACAATGAAGTATCCTTCTCCAGTATGGTAAATCTTCCTTTCTTTAATTAAATGGCCCAAGGTGGTGTAGAGGATATCTTGTGAAGGAGTGGCTATGCCTAAAACAAAGAAATGTATGACCTGAGATTTACTTCCATTTAAAAGAATTTAATGACCGTGATCTCATGAGATGAATTCATTCCTGATTAAAACACTTTTTACACTTTTTGTGCCAAGGAGCAAACATTAATAGCTACCAGGTCTATTGGTGACAGCAAACAATTGTAAACACCCTGTGGAATTTTAACTAAGATGGGGTGACTGTGGCTTGGCCTCAGGACACCAAAATTTAGAAGGCAAAAAAATTAAAAATTCTTTTCAAAGGGCATAGAATTTCAAAATTTGCTATTTTGCATTCTGATAGCAATTATACTCTTCTAGCAGCTCGGAAACAATTGAGCTTAATACTTGGCTGGACCAAAAGCTGAGATACAAAACTGCCACAGAGCAGGTTTTCTCAGCCCTGCCCTGTCCTTCTCTGCTCACCCATTCTCCTTGTGTCTCTGCCCAAGAATGGGCGGTATTCCTGGGCTTTCTGCACAGGGCTGGTGCTGACGTCTCTCCCTCCCTTCACTTCCCATCAGGGTGCCCGTGTCTGGAGTCTCCCCCTATATAGGAGGCGTTCCAGTGTCCCTCCCACCATGAAGCTGGTTTCCCAGAGCCTCTCCTCCAGCTCAACTGTACTTCACTAAATCGGGTCATTTTCACATCACGAATTACAAAGTCAGCTTGAGGCTACATTTTGTGCTGCCTGCCCTGGGCACCAAAATGTATAGTTACCATTCAGATGACTTCTAAGTTTGAGGACTAGAGAACGGTTGAACAATTCATGGAGCTGAGTGCAGTGGCTTGAGCCTGTAATCCACTCGGGGAGGGGAGTCTTAGCAATCTCTTGAGCTCTGTTGTTCTGAGCTGCAGTGGACTAACCCATATGTGAGTCCCAAGGGTGGGAGGCCACCACGCTGCCTAATGAAGGGAAACTGTCCCATGTTGGAAATGAAGCAGATCCAATCAGCAGTGGGATCAGGCCCACGGGTGACCAGTGAGCTTCTAGCCGGGGTGAGATAAGGAGACCCAGCCTCAAAAACTAAAAATATTACTAATATAAATTATCTAATTAATATTATCTAATTATAATTTAAAATAATTTAATGGTAATTAATTGATAATAATTAATCAATATTTTGCATACCACAGGAGTTATCCAGAAAACAATAAATACATGTATAGTACAAGGAAATATAGAGAGATGCAAAGTGAGATCGCCAGAACTAGATTAGAAATAGAGTGACTATGTAACTACATATTTGTTTGTTTGTTTGTTTGTTTGCTTATATATTTTTAAAAAGAAAAAGTAGAAGCCGCCATGCTTCAGAGAGACCTAGATGGAGACAGAACAAAATCAAGTGTTGGCTTATCTGTTGTTTCTTTATTCACTTGGTTCTACCCTGTTAAATGCTAAGGATATTACCTAAGGTTCTGCCTCTTAATGTGTATGTTAATTTGATTTGTTTGCTTTTTTATTGCCAATTGTTAAGTTTATAACAAAACCAATTTTTGAATAACAATGATACTTCAGCCAAAGATTACACGTTTGAAGCTGATTTAGGGCAGCCAGATAGTGCAGTGCAGTGAGCACTGGGCCTGGAGTCAGGAAGACTCCTCTTTGTGAGGTCAAATCTGGCTTCAGACACTTACTAGCTATGTGACCCTGGGCAAGTCACTTAACCCTGTTTGCCTCAGTTTCCTTATCTGTAAAATGAGCTGTAGAAGAATATGGTAAACCACTTCAGTATCTCTCCCAGGAAAACTCCAAAATGGGGTCACAAAGAGTCAGACATGACTGAACAACAACAATATAATGGAAAGACCATGGCACTCTGTAGTCAGAAGACTTGAATCTGTCATTTACTGCTTGGGGTAAGTCCCTTCCCTGCTCTGGGCCTCAGTCTCTCCTCCAAAAGGAGAGGACTGCACTTCCCTAAGTCACTACCCAGGGCATACTCTTTGACCCAGCAATACCACTACTAAGTCTCTACCTCCAAAAAGATTAAAGAGAGAGTAAAAGGATGCATATATTAAAAAAAAAATTCAGATTAGCTCTATGTGTGATGACAGACAACTGGAGAATAAGGGGATCCCATCTATGGGGTAACAGCTGAGCGAATCACGGTATATGGATGTAATGGAATATCATTATTCTGCAAGGAATGGCAAAGGGAATGCTTTCAGAGAAATCTAAGACTTGCATGGGCTCAGATTATTAAGATCTGGCCCCCTTGCATTAGCGATACAAATGTTTAGATTCCTTAAGAGTCTGCCCAATGTGACGATGTTCTAATAAAACTTGTCTTTGGCTGAAAGAAGCCTTGGGCCGAATTCATTCGGGCAGGACCTGTGTGTTGTGATTTCGGGGTCCCAGCCCCCCTAAACCCCTAAACCTCAACATTTTGGTGGCCTGTACAGGGAAAACTGCCTAACCCCAAGTTCTTCTCTAGCCAAGACTGGAAGGTATGTAAGCCTCTCCCCACTTCTTTCTTGCCCTGCAGTTGGGGTCGCTCTCCAAGCACCTAGGAGGGCTTGAAGGTGCTTTTTGGGCAGACAGTTACGAGGCTGTCTTGCACTTGGCCTGACACTCTCAAGCGCTCCGTCCACTGGCTCGCTTTGAGGCCATGGACCTGGGTACACCTTCGGCAGCATAGAGGACAAGGACAGATGCCATATGCCCAATTCTGCCAATTCTCTCGGCGCAAGGCAATTGGGAAAACTGCAGGTGCTTTTTGGTTCCCTGAGGCTTACTTACTCCCTTCCCTCTACACCCCTGAATCCTTCATGGAGGCTACAGGGAAAAGTTAGAACAGCTGAAAACATCTTAGCAGATTCTGGAGGTTTTGTGATGGATCATTAAGGATTTTGAAACACCTCCTCACAACCCTGGTCACTCCCTTCTCCTACTCCCTTCTCTTGAATCAGGAGGGTATCTATTAATCCCTCTCACAAGAGAAGACAGTTTCACCCCCTCCCCCCACCTCTGAACAGAACAGTTCCACACATAAAAGGAATTTCCACTATAGCACACCTGATGAGTGGTCATCCATCTTTGGCTTAAACACCTCCAACAAAGGGAAACCCACCACCTCTTGAGGCAGACCTTCCCACTTTTGGACCACAAGGCCCCTTCCAGCTCTAGAACTACGCCCCGATAATTCTACACTCCCTCGTTTTACAGATGAGGAAACTGAGACCCAGGGAGGTTAAGTGACCATCCTGAGATTAACCAGGTAATGAGTGTCAGAGGTAGGATCTGAACCCAGATCTCAATTCCAGAACCTGTCATCTTTCCACCAGACTATCCACCATGACAATAATTTAATTTAGATAAATAATTCAAATAAATATGTTAATTTAAATAAATAATTTCATTTAAAACACTCTATAAATAAATGTCAATTGGCCATTATGACAACAAGGATTTCAATATTCACAGCGAACAAGGATGAAGTGCCATAGCAAAGATAAGGTACTCGCCACGGTTAAGGTTCCCTCGGCCTATGGCCTCTGATTCCTAAGAGTTTTGTTAAGGCGGCCTGGAACAGTGTTACCAACCAGCCCCCCACAGCGCATCATTCATCCTCAGCAAAGGAGGGAGGTTTCTGCCTATACCTGGGTAGTGTTTCACCAACTGATCCATCAGGGACTCCTGGGTCACCACAACATGAGCCGCATTCATATCCGCTATAGCACAGCAAAGGACCTCCGCCAAAGGTATAAACTGGGACTGAGTAATTGGATTCATCTGTACTGGAAAAACATCTCCTATGGAGAAAAAACAAAACAAAACAAAGCTTGAAAATTCACAGTATGAAACGTCCAGATAGGCCAATCAGGACGACAAGCAGCTCTCAGCAAACACTTCATTTCTCTCCCCTTTCATGGAATCAGAAAGAACCAAACTAAGGCTTGCCAGCGGTGGGGAAAGTGGGAAGACCGAGTGGCTACAGATGGAGGTCTCAGCACTTCCTTGCTGCGTGCTGGAGGGCAAATCATTTAACCTCTCTAGGACTTGGTTTCTTCAGCTATAAAATGGAGCAGGAATATCTGCAGAACCCAAAACATAGGGATAATGGATTGGAAAGGCCTTTGCAAAACTTAGAGGCTCTGGGGCCCTCCCCAAAGGGCCTCCTTTCTGGTGACTCCCTCTGTTAGCCACCATTTTAGGAAGGCCCCTTGCCAAGCTTTACAACTCATACCTGACCCTCCCTAGAAACCTTTTCTTCCTTCCCCTGCTAAAATAGTCCTTCTCCCTCTGCCTTGTAGCCTCCCATTAGAATGTAAGCCCCTTGAGGGCAGAGATGGTTAGATTGCTTATATCTGGATGCCCAGTGTTTAGCACAATGCCCGGCACATCCTCTAAGGCTGTGCTGCCGTCTTCTCTACCATGCCTCGGAAACCTCTTCATCCCGGGAGTTCACTCCAGCCCAGGCATTCACACATTAGAAGCACTCTCAGTTCCTGTGGTCTCTTCTCCAGACCACAGGGCTCCTCTCAGAACCTCTAGGTCAGCGACGGGGTTCTGCCCTTCCACACCTTCATTTCAGGTTCCTCTTAAAGGCTATTTTCCCATATTAGAATGTAAGCATCTTGAGGGCAGGGCCCATCTTTTTGTCTCCTAGCAGTGTCTGGTATATGGTAAATGCTTAACGCTTGCTGATCTTGTACTAGTAAGCGCTCAATATATACTCAGTCTCTCCATTGCTGGGAATGCGTGATTTTGTCTTACCTAGGCTGATGGACAATTCCTGACCTTCTCTGCCCAGTGACTGAGGAGAGTGGTGGACAGGCTTCTGGGCCACTGTATGTTTTAGAAACTACATAAAGACACAGCCTTGATAATCAAGATGGGGAAATTACAGCCTTAGTTCAAAGGACTATAGAATCACTGATTGAGAGCTGAAGGACACCTCACAGTCTAGTTCAGGGATGGGGAACACGTGGCCTTGAGACTGCAGGTTCCCCACCCCTGGTCTAGTCTGTTTAACAGATAAGGTCACATTGACCCCACCTTGGGGGACAAAGAGTAGCTAGGTGGCACAGGGTTTAGGATGCTGGAGTGAGGAAAGAATTCAAATCCTGCCTCAGACACTTATTTAGTCAGGTGACCTTGGGCAAGTCACTTAAACTTTCTCGGCCTCAGTTTCCTCATCTGCAAAATGGAGATAATAGTAGCACCGCCTCTCTCGGGGTTGTTGCAAGGATAAAATGAGATTAATATCTGTAAACACTTTGTAAACCTTAATAAATAAGTAAATAAATGTTGACTACTGCCTTCTCAGACTCTGGACTAGCCAGGGGCTCATTAGAGAATCACTGAACCTTGTAACTGCCTGGGGCCTCGGAGGCCATTTAGGGCCCTGAACACTGAGAAGGAGGAACGATGGGGGTGGGAGTGGGTGTTTAAAATGACATTTTAGTCATTCCATCTAAAAACAGAGCTGGTGCTACCCTCCCCACCCCACCCCCTCCGCCCCGTGTAATCTAGCACCTTCCCAAGATACTTCAAGTGGGGCTTATTGTGCAAAAGTGACATGAGAACCTACTTCTGTTGGGGCTGCGTGCCTACACAGGCCAGAAGCTGTAGAAAAAGGAGATAAGCCTTATTAACAGCAAATCCCTGGGCTGGCACCTCATTGCTAGAATGGGGCTCTTTGCAGGAAACAGCCGTAACCACCAGTTGGGCCAAGAGAATACTCTCAGCTGCCCCTGACACAGAGGACAGACGGAACATTACAGGAAGCTAGGTCTCCCATGTGCACAGCATGTCACATAAGCAAAGTATTTACCTTCCAACAACCCTCCAAGGCAGGCATGCTAAATACCACTGTCTGCATTTTACATACTACATCCACTCTGGGGATTCATTCAGGATAATTTTCAAGTCCTTCTTATGTGCAAATATGCACTGGAGAGATTCTCTATCCAGGACACTCATGTTCTTGGCTCCATTAGAGAAAAATTAGCACTTCCCCCCTCTGTTTTAGGGTAGACAATTTGGACAGATGATTTTTCTGGTATGTTTTCTTTAAAAGTTAGACCAGGTCTTCTAAGATAACCTTTGCTCATTTGAATGCTTAAGCACTAAGACCTGAATCCTTTACAAGTATGAAAGGTAACATGAGCAGTATGGATTTTGTATCCCTAAAAGACTAGTACTAGGCATTCGCCTAGTGCACACTATGATAGCTAGTAAGTTTTTTTTTTCTTTTTAACCTAGACTTGTTTGCCCTAACTTCAAAAAGAACCCAGACAGCTTGTCTGAGATCACTGGGTTGCAGATCTATAGGATAAGGTTGGCCTGCAAACCCTGAAGAGTTAACTCTCCTTACTTCCCTCTTGGGATCCCCCTTCCTCCCCCCCAACTTAGGGGCTTTTCTGAGTTGTTTTCTTTTAAGCTAAACCAGCCTATCTTAGTGAGAGGTGATTTAGGAATTCCATTTAGATTGCCCTAATGAATTGGCAAGGATTCCCTGGGGAAATTTCACATGACTTCTAGTGAAGGGACCCAGAGGAAATCTTTATCTGGCCCTCCAATGCACAAGAGATCGCTGGAGAAATTTTAGTAGGTCTTGTACAGAAAGAGACAATTGGAGATATTTTGTTTGAACCGCCCCCCCCCATTGGACTTCACTAAAGGAAACCATGGAAGGGCCCAGGATCATTTGGTTTCTCATCCAAAGAATGAAGAGGTCATTTACAGTTGATCCCCAGTCCCTAATCTTATGGAGGGAACCCTGTATGTTCTGGGAACTCAGAGGGACCAAGATTTCCCTTTGAGATGAGAATTTTGAGGGGCAAGCTAGATGGCATAGTGGATAGAGTATTGGCCCTGGACTCAGGAGGACCTGAGTTCAAATCTGGTGTGACCCTGGGCAAGTCAATGAACCCCAATTGCTTCACCAAAAAAAAAAAAAAGAGATGAGAAATCTGATTTTCTCTTCTTTTTTTAAAAAAAATTGTTTTGAGGTTGGGGAAGGCCTTTGTAAGCATCAAGATAAATGTCAACCTGTGAGAATTTTACGAAAAGATATCTGTTTTTCAGGTTGTGTCACTACATATTTGGAATCTTAAAGAATGTGAATTTCCAGATTAATTAGTGAGCCAAAGCACAGAAGTTTTTCCAGAGGTTTTTTTTAGTAGAAAACACAGCTGAAAGCATCCAAAAAGGATCATGTTGCGTCTCTAGAGTTTCTAAGGCACTAGAATTAAGCGGGGTTGAGAAAGCCTCCCTATAGAAAATAGGGTTTTAGTTGAGATTTAAAGGAAGTTGGGGAAGCTGGGAGGTGAAGATGAAAAGGGAGAGCACTCCAGGCATGGGGGACAGTCAGAGAAAATGCCTGGAATAAAGAGATGGAGTGTCTTGTTCATGGAACAGCCAGGAGGCCAGTGTCACTGGATCAGAGCAGCGTGTGTGCTGGACAGCAAGGTATACAAGGAAAAGTAAGGTATAAGGGGGCTAGGGAATGAAAGGCTTTGATCACCAAACAGAGCATTTGGTATTTGGTCCTGGAGGTGACAGGAAGCCACTGGAGTTTATTAAGTGTGCGTATGTGTGTGTGTGTGTGTGTGTATGCGTGCATGTGCATATGGGGTGGGGGGGTGACATGGTAGGATCTGAGGTTTAGGAGAATCCCTTTGGTGGCTGAATGGAAGACAGACTGGCCTGGAGGGAGCCTTAAGGCAAAGCAGACCCAACAGCAGGCTATTGTAAAGTCCAGGCTGGGGTGATGAGGGTCTGCACCAGAGCAGTGGCCATATCAGAGGAGCGAAGGTGGAGATGTATTTGAGAGATGTTGCAGAGATGAAGTCAACAGGCCTTGGCAACAGCTTGGATATGGGGGAAAGGGGTGAGAAATAGTGAGGAGTCCAGGATGATTCCTGGGTTGTGAGCCTGAGGGACTGGGAGGATAATGGAGGGAAGGTGGGAGGGGGAAGGGTTTAGGGGGAAAGAGAATGGGTTCCATTTTGGACACATTAAGTTTAAGATGTCTATTGTACGTCCAGTTTGAGATATCTGAAAGGTGGTGGAGATGTAAAATTGAGCTCAGCTGATTGGGTCAGGTGAAGAGAGGTAGTTTTGAGAATAGTCAACATCGAAATGGTGATTAACGCCATGGGAGCTAATGAGATTGCCAAGTGAAGTAGTACAGAGGGAGAAGAGGCCCCCGGACAGAATCTGGAGGGACATTGAGAGTTCGAGTGTGATCCAGAAGAGGATCCAGCAAAGGAGAATGAGAAGGGGCAGTGTGAGAGGCAGAAGAATCAAGAGAGAAGGGGGTCCCAAAAACCTAGAGAGGTCAGAGTATGGAGGAGGAGAAGGCCATCAACAGGGAGGTCGAGGAGACGAGGGTCGAGAAAAGGCCGCTGGATTTGGGACCGAAGAGAACCTCAGTAATCTGGAGAGCGCAGTTTTAATACGGTCAGTGGCCAATTGTAAGGGGTAAGAAGAGAGAAAACGGGAGGACAGAAAGCAGAGGCACCTACTGCAGGCGGCCTTCTTAAGGAGTTTGGTCACAAAGCGCAGAAGACGTAGAGGAAGGAAGTTAGTGGGGACGGAAGGATCGAGGGACGGTTTTTTCGGGCTGGGGACGATTGTAGGCTGTAGAGAACGAGCCAGTAGAAAGGGGGAGAATGACAATAAGTGGTAGACTGGGGATGCCAGAGGGGGCAATTCACTGGAGGACGTGGGATGGAATGGGGTCACTTGAACAAGCAAAGGGCTTAGCCTTGGTGAGGGGTAAGGCCACCTCTTTGTGGGAGGC